TGGCGATCGGTGTTATGATCCTCGATATATTATACTTCGGTGGTTCGATGCTATTATAAATCTTCAAATTTTTGTCTTTACCGTAGTCGTATTGTCTAAAATCTCCGGAGTTAATCAATTGGTAGTAATGTGCGAATTGCTTGGCAGATGCACCAGCCGGAAAGTTATTCATGTACTTAGGCATTAATTGCTACGATAATTAAAGATTTGAGTAAGTAATTAAAATTTGAATAAATGGAAAATCGCTAATGTAGTTAGCGCATCTCGGTGTACTCACGTAATCAAATTCCGTATTGTCGAATCCGAATAGAAGGAACAACAGATTAGAGCAAACTTTTTCTTCCAGAGTATTGAAATAACAGATGTATTTCCTAAAAATCTTAACAAGAATATCGTTCGGTAGAATCTCGCCATGTGAGACGTCATCAATTAATTTCTAAGGATCGAGATAACGTCTGATTAGAATCGAAACTCCTTTGTCCAGTGAACCGGATTTGTCAATAAAATTACTCTATTCTTTACCTTCAAGGTTTCATTAATGGAGGCTAAAAATCGGAGTACGGGAGATTGCAGGTATTTCACATACGCGATCGGGGCTAAGAGGTACGCTGATTGCACCAGTCGTGCTATCTGCGGTCGTTCGCTAGATAGGACAAAGAAAGCTGTTGTACCCATCGAGTGTCCGATGTAGGCCCTCACCAAGTTTTGTTTCGTTTTCACAATATGAGTGAGCATCGCCGGTAGATCGTAAATACCTGATTCGTGCCAGCTGAATAAACAAGCATTAATTAACATACACCTCACTTATTTATTTGTTACAAGTACCTGAAGTCCCAAAATCTTTTATCGTTGGTGGTCAGATTAACGTGAGCCTTCGAATAAGTGTTCCCCCGAAAGTTCCCGAACCACACATCGTAACCCTGGTCGGCCAGCATGAAAGCTGAGTGACAAGAAGGAGAACTTATGTATCAAGTTCTATAGAGATAAAAGAAACATTCGAATAAGTACCTAACGACTGGCTTTTGTTAAC